ATTTCATCCATATTATTAGATTCATATAACAAAAACATTTTGTAGCATAAAAACATGTTCGATTGTTCTTATGATTTGATGCAATTCTTGGCTGTAATTATAAATAATATAAGTAAAAAATTTTTAAATATAAATAAGTAAATATTGTATATCATACTCTTGTTGAATCTGCATTAAAATCTGTTCAGCTTTTTCAATTTCTTTCATTGCAATATCATTATCTGCACTTATTACATCTTTGTAACATCTATATAAACATTTTAATAACACTTCTAAAGGATAAGATGATTTGATATCTACTGTATCAGCATATTCTTCATCTCTATATTTAGAACCTGTTACAATATACTTTATTAGACTGTCTAACATTTCCCAGTTAAATGGGCATTCTAATTTTGTAAGTTTTAACTTTGTAGTTACTTCCTCTGATTCATCAGATGCCATGTTCTTAAAATCTGAAATAAACTTAATATGGTAAAAGTTTACAGTCGTCATCTCCAATTTTGATAAAATTAGATTTATTAACGCTTCGATGTGTAACATTTACCTTTAATATTATCGATAATATATTTAAAAGTATATTTTTAGATTCAAAATTAAACTCTTAACAAAAAATTTGTTAGCTTTACTTGCACAGTTTAGAGTTTATTCTTTTTTATTTCCTCATAAATCTGAACATATTTATTCAATTATTTCAAATACAAAAGCACAAAAAAGCATAATTAAAGATTTAAAGTTTGCAAATAAATTATAATATTTTCATATTGTAACAGCAATACAGCAGTATGAAATACAAACCTTTCACTTTGGTTTAATACGTACTACTAATACGTACTAATAATTATCTGAATTACGGCACAAATACAACAATTGTTTCGTTTCTATTGTTAATATAAACTTCTAACAGTAATATTTGTTTTCGAACTGAATAAAATAGTATCAAACACAATAATCAGGAGACTTGATAGTATATCTGTGGTGTCTCATAATGGGAATCCCCGACCGTTGTTTTTTTTTCCCCACGTAGCAACAAATCCTGGCCCTGAAATTCATTGGCTATACATAGGCTGCGTTCCGATATTCACTGGCAGCACTGCGAATACTATTCCGATATACGCAACAAAGGGTACTGTCCAGAGTATGTAATAGTGTGTGAATCGGGCCGGATTTTTTGCGCATGCGTGGCGACAGACATAAGACAGCAACGTATGTGACGTAGCGATGTTGGGCGCAAAAGTTTGGCGTGAAATGGCGCAAAAGTTTTAACGGAATCATCGTCGATTAGGTTAGATACAAGTAAGGTAAGTATTTTACATGTAATACTTATATTTTTTCATGATAAATTCTTTTTAAATTATAAAAATTTTTATGTGATTATGGATAGGCAACCAATGTTACATAATTTTACTCATATTAGGTACGTTACTGATATCCTATTCGCCGCGCATGCGTGAAAAACCCGACCCGATTCACAACACTGATATGTAAGTTGCTCTCTTGGGTTGCGTTCCGATATTCATTGTCAGTACTGAAAATATATAGTTTAGGTTACATGTATTATAGATTTTCAGTACTGACAGTGAATATCGGAACGCAGCCACAGTATGTAGATACAGTAGCTTCACTCTGCTCAATATCCGAAATGTCACTCGCGCATGACGGAAATGCACACTCAACAATATGACGGTTCAAAAAAATTGTGTATAACCTTAATGTAATCGTAGTATAACCACAGTAAATTTACATAAACATGAATAAAAGAAGTGGATATTGATGTTTATTTAATAATTGTGAAAGTACAAGTACTAAACAAAGGAAAAAAGAAACACTATTTAGATTTCCAAAACATACAAAAAGGTATTATTCATTGTATTATTTAAACCATAATATTTATTTTAACATAATTAAAAAGTTAGATCTAGTTTACATTTCTTGTTACTTATGAAAAATGAATTAATTTGTACTCTGCTGATTTATAACTTTTGTAATTATTGCACACACACACACACACACACACACACACACACACACACACACACACACACACACACACACACACACACACACAA